CACACGAAATGATTGTTCAAGCACGACGGTCCGCTTGGAAGGTCTTGGGCTGCTCTGCGCGGCACTCTCGCCTCGGCGCCTTCCATACGCCTGCCCATCTGCCGCTACTCACTTAGAGGTCTCCCAGATGGGGTCCGAGCAGACGGGGTCGGAGGATCGCGCCACATCGCCGATGAATCGGCGACGTCTGGCGTGGATAAAATCGGGCTCCACGTCGAGCCGCATTGGCGGTGCATCGGCGATGCGGCGCTACCTCCGACCCCATCTAACCCTGACAAGTCTTTAGAACCCGCACCAATCGGCGGTAGCTAATGATTTTTCGGCGGCCTGATTGGAGGGGAAGGGTCCCACCACACCACCAGGAGGTACCTAATTATTTGTTCCGCGGCACCCACCGCGCAACGACGCCGACAGCCACGACTACGAACCCTCCTCCTCTTCCTCCTGCTCCTCCTGCTCCTCCTGCCCTCCTCCTCCTCCTCCTCCTCGTCGTCCTCATTCGTAAGGAGGATGAGGAGGGAGGAGGATGAGGAGGAGGTTTTAGGACCAGTCCTATTCACCGCCGAGAGAAAAGGGGGGGGACCCAAACCAAAGACCTTTAGCGGTTACTCGGACCCCATCTGGAGGCCTGGGTGGTTGCCCCCACCCGCCCCTGACAACGTGTTTGCATGCGCCCGCCCGTCCCGCGTCGTGAAGCAAATCCAGCGGGAGTTTTGCCCTTTTCGATCTCCAAGGGCCTTACTGGGCCTCGGGGCCGTCAGGACGAAAAGTCGGTCCCGAAAACAATTTCGGACTCCAGCGGCCCTTCCCGGGCTGAAAGGCGATCAAACAACGAGTCAGGATGGCAAGCCGGCCCCCAGGGAGGGGTCCAGACCTCTGCGGAGATACAGTGTGATTCAAGCACGACGTTGGATGTGACATGGCTTTTTGATGGCCCTGGGACCCGACAAGGGCGGCTGCCAACAGTTGACCGAGCCTAAGCCATGACATGTTCGAGACGCTGGATGTCTGGAACACCCGCCTTCCCTCCGCGGAGCCCCAGGGTCGAGGCGATCCGCTTCAGCATGTCCATGTGGTCCTCGCACGCCAGCGAATGAAGGGCAGCGAGAGCAGCCGCAGCACCAGACGCGATGAGCGCAGAGGAGCACGACATGAATATGATGATGGTGATGATGATAATGATGATGATGATGCTAGTGATGATGACGAAGATGCTTACAGTGGTAGCGATACCGGTAATGGTGAAGTGGATGCTCGTGATAGCTAATGCAAGCGCGAATGCTCATGATAGTGATGATGTGTGATGATGGTGGTGATGATGACGATGATCTGCTGATGATGATGATGATGATGATGCTGTTGATAAGAATGACGACGACGATGCTGATGATGATTGTGATGGTGGTGATGGTGATGATGATGATGCTTATGATGATGGTGATGCTTATAATGATGCTTCTGACGGCGATTAGGATTACCGGTAGGATGATGATGCTGGTGAATATGACAACGACGATGATGGTGACTGTGATGGTTGTGATGATAATGACGATGATGCTGGTTATGATGGAGATGCTGATGTTGTTGATGATGAGGATGACGATGATGATGATGCTGATGATGAGGGTGATGGTGGTGATGATGATGTTGATGTTGAAATTAATGCTGATGATGCTGCTGATGCTGCTGCTGATGATGATGATGCTGATGATGATGATGCGTCCTTATATTCCTGAGGTTTACCATTGGCCCGCGCGGACTTCAGAAACGATGCCCGCAAGATACCCTGTAATTACAGGAACGCATCCTGAGCCAATGGAGCCATGAAATCATGATTGTCCTACGGAGGAGGACGACATGGCCCATTGCCAAGGCTCCCAAGGCCTCCAGAGGTCCTTGGACGCATCCAGACGCCCGTCAAGAGAACAAAACAACTGGACCCTCCCCACCCTCCTCCAGCTCCTCCACCCCCTCTCCTCCGTCCGCCGTCATTCGTCACCGGTCCTTTCGTCCTCCGTCATTCGTCCTCGTTATCCCACTCCTGCTCCTCCTCCTCCTCCTCCTCCTCCCCCTCCTCCAGAAACGTCGGGCCCTCTCCACGTGCGGCTGTTCATAAAAAGCAATTCCAACGCAGATGCTCCGTATGTTGTTTGTTCAATCCGATCGTTTTCGGTGCTTCAAAATGGTGCTCCCGCTGCAACGAGGGCCTCATTTTCGGATCGGAGCTTTGCTACTACCGTCATTCAGAATGGCGCTCTCGCCCAAGGGGGGGCCAATTTTCTGTATCCGAGTCTGTCTTCATCGTTGTCGCCCCCCTCATTGCCTTTCCTCCGTCTTCCCCTGGTCCTCCTGTTCCTCCCGCTCCTTTCACTCCACTTCCTGTTGCTGCTGTTCGTCCTCGTCCTTTTCCTCCCGCTCGTCCTCCTGCTCACCTGCCACCTCTTCCTTCTGTGCACACAGCTCGCCTTTTACACTTGTGCATGGCACGATGTGGTCTTTTTGTTGGAGTTGCAGGTCGGCCCTCATGCAACATCAGCACAGTGGGAAGGGATGGAAGGGAGGGAGAGGAGGTCAGAGGCGCGGGCGCTCCCCCCTCCCCCTCCCCCCCTTCAAATCCGTCGCGAGGCACAGAAGACCCCACAGGCACCGAACACTGAAAAAAAGATGGGTGCGCCAATCTGTACGCCCTTTCTGCACCACAGGCTGAGGGCGACAGTCAGCCTGAGGGCCCGCGACCATGAGTATCGTTTCACCGATCCCCATCCCCAGCGGCGTGGCCTGGGCCCCGCTGGCCGATTTACTCCCCTAGATGGGGATAGAGGTCGTTACCTTCGGGTTTCGAGGGGTGTATCCCCAACTGGGATGGTAATTTTGTGGGGGTCTCGAAGGGGATGGGGCTGGGGATGGGGACCGGATAAACGATACAGAGACCAAGTGCACCCTCAGCGAAAACTTCGCCAAGGCTCTCTGCCCTGGCCGCCAGTCTGGAGAAAGCCCGGACGCCAGGCCCCTTGAGCGAAACCCTGCCCTTGCCCACCTTGAGAGCGGAGGCGGTGGGGAGGCGAAGATGATGGGCTTGGTTTCCACCACCACCACCATAAGTTGAAGGGGGAGGGGGTCCTCCTCCTCCTCCTCCTCCTCCTCCTCCTCCTCCTCCTCCTCCTTCTCTTCCTCCTCCTCCTTCTCCTCCTCGTCCTCCTCCCCCTCGTCCTCCACATCCTTCTCCCCTCCAACTTATGGTGGTGGTGGTGGTGGTGGAAAAAACCATCAGAAGGAGGAGAGGAAAGTGGAAGCGTGGAGGCGGCTGACATCAACCGTACGGCTGAAACTTGGTGCCGCTACTGCGACTTCCGCCACCGGGTGCCAACTGCCAAAAGGGTACAGCAGAGAATTCATAATCTGCGGGGAGGGGTGTGTGAACAGGAGAGGGTGGAGGAGAGGATGAGGAGGCGGGGAGGATGAGTGGAGAAGGGCGGGTTAGCGGAAGGAGGAAAAAGGAGGGAGGGAATGGGACGGGTAGCAGAACGGGGCAACTAACTGACCGAGCCTCGGGTGTCCGCTCAGTCGAGATCGCACGTACTGGGCCACAGGGAGGATGAGACCGAGGAGGAAGAGAAGGGGGATAAGGGCGAGGGGGAGGTGAGGAGGGGGAGGGCGATGAGGAAAGGGAGGGCGAGGAGGGGGGGCAGAGAACAGAAGAGAGGGAAGGCGGAAAAGCAAGCATGCAGACGAAACATAACAGACGATGACATAACACATGCACCTTTCTGCCCTGCACGTCGGCGTAGATACCCTTGTTGTTGCAGTCCGTTTCCTGCTGACCCTCTTGCTTTCTTGTTGCTTCAGCTCGTCGACCTGATCAGCGTCCTCGTCCAGGTCATCCTGGTCCCTCGTCAGCATCTGACCCTCGTCGTTCTCCTCCTCCTTCTCCTTCTTCTCCTCCTTCTCCTCCTTCTCCTCCTCCTCCTCCTCCTCCTCCTCATTGGCAAGCTCCTTGCCACGGAACAGGGGCTCGCGACTCAAGATTTCGAAGTGGATGCAGCCTACCTTAGATATCCCCACGATGAGGCCAGCCGCGCATCCTCCCGCTACCACTCCCTCGCCTGCAAAGGATACTACGCGTAGCATGTGCCCCACCCTCTTCCGCCTCTTCTCCATCTCCCTCTCCCTTTCCCTCTCCTTTTGCCTCTCCCTTACAAAAAACTAAATAAACATAACTGTAGGAAGTGTGCGATGATTTCTTGGGTCGGCGCTGGGCCTCTTCCCCCGCGACAGTCGCGGCGTCAGAGGCGCCGCCTTGGGGGTGTCCAACAGCGACCCGAGAAGTCCCCGTTCGGACCTGCGCAAGAAGGAAGGGGGGGGGACGGCAAAGGGACTCTTCTCCTCGACCGCGCCCATCTTCCCTCCCCTGTCCTACCATCAAGCGCACGCGGACATGGATTAGTGACCTGTGGCTCCAGTGCGTGGGCGCCAGACCCATGATTCGGTGAATATTGCCCCCGACACATGAACCATTGCCGCCCAATTTGACGACAACGCGCGCCGGATGTTGCATGCAAGCGGGGCCCGTCGCCAATCCGCGCGCTCCAACCCACGTTGGCGTTTCGTCGATGCCCGTTCCGTCTCCATCCTGCCCGCCTCCTCCTCCCCCTCCTCGCACCCCTTCTCCATTCGGGGCGGGCGAAAGGCGTGGATAGCGAAGGGGGAGGGGGTGGAGAATTGGCTGTGTGCGCCTGGTGTTCTCTCCGCAGCCAGGTTCCGAAGGCGGGCCACGCAATGTCAGGGTCATCCGCAATACAAGCCAGGCGCGTGATCTTTCCACTATCCGCGACGGCGACGACGACGTTGGCGACGAGGACGACGACGACGAAGCACGACGACGCAATGCGGATGCCCCAGGGGGGGGGGCCGGGGCTGCGAGGCCCCCTATAGTTGACGACGACGGACACGACGACGAAAACGCAATGCGGATGCCCCAGGGGGGGGGACTGCGAGGCCCGCTGTAGTCGTCGACGACGACGACAACGGACGACGACGACGACAACAACGACAACGACAACGACAACTACACCACCAACAACATCAACAACAACAGCAGCAGCAACAACAACGACGACGACGACGACAACGGCGGCCACGACGACGACGACAACCACGACAAGGACCACGACGTCGTCTGTGGCACGCCAGTGCTCAGCCTGGGAGGGGGGACAACTTCACCTCGGCTGGGTACGATCCCTACTGCAACTTCTGCGCGACAGGCAATCGTTTTGAGGCTGCCGCGTAGGGGGGTACACGATCCCCTCGGCGCAGCCCGCGACGACTCCCTGGTGCGTGTGATTGAGTAATCAATATTGCACCCCGCGGGATCTATGTATTTCGCAGCCTCGGGGAGGGGGACATCTTTCCTTAATCACACGCTGACACTATCGAGGCGGAGGGCGTGGCGGAAAGGCTGAAACCGATCTCGCGCATGACCTGTCGTACCCCCCCCGACCCCCGCCCTTTCGTCCGACCCAATCCTGCCTCGACGGCGTGGACCCTAATTCCACCACCCCTTTACGGCGTGAGTGTTCAACCCCCTGCTTCACCATCGGAGAAGGTATACCCCTCCTCCAACGGCCCACGTAGTCTTCTCTTCGCCGCGTCGCTGGAAGCAGACAGAGCCGCGCGCGAGCGACTTCCGTTTGCGAGGTAGGAGCGCGTTCTAATCCCAAATCAAATTGTGCCACAACTGATTCTTGTTGCGGGACCGGGAACCCTCGACCCCGCCCCCCCCCCCCCCCAGACTCAAAGTTGGTCCAGGGCATTCGGCAGCACAGGCTTCAGAGGACAAAACAAGTGGAAGCCTCAGGGCCTCCGCAAGGCCCACCCCAACTTCAGGAGGGATTACGTGGGCGGGGCCCTCTGACTCGCTGGACCTGGCTAACTTGACCCCTCCTCTTACCCCGTGGTCTCCAATATGGCTCAGCATTGCCTCCACCATGCCTCGAAGAGGCCCCATACCACGATAAGACAGCCGCAAGTAGCCACGGAGTCTCCCGCGGACTCCCCAGAGAGACCAAATCCTTCGCAACCCTATGGGAAGCGATGGCTCCAAGACGACCCCATGAGCGCCCAAGGATGCCCCCAAAAATCCCAAAGTGCAATTTGTCTAGCTTCGACGGGGGGGGCTGACATTGAGAACCCCCCCATTATTTGATCGATGATCTCCAAAGTTGACCCCTATAGTCCGAGAGGGCCCCAAGAGCTCCGCAAAGGCCCAAACAGCTAACAAGCTCTCGTTTCGAAAGATCCGCTCCTAAACATCCCTGATCAAGGCCACTCGCCTGGACATCGATTCTGGATGGGCTAGTCGAGATGTGTGAAGCGTAAAGAATTCCACAATGTCTGACTCCGCGTGAACCGTTCAACTTGGAACGACCTGAGGTCGGAGGAAATCAACAAGCCCAGACATCCAACGTCATGGCTCCAGGCACAGAGGTCTGGACTCCTTCCCGGGACAGGATTTTCGCTCTGAATATATTGAAGGGGCCCTGGGACACACAAATCAATACACACAAGTAACAGGATTCCCCATGTTTTCCTATATTTTCTGGGGTTTCTGTCTTCCCCCCCACTGCCCATATTCTCCCATGTTTTCCTGGAACGAACAAACGAACGACGCGCTCCATCGGCCCGGAGGCCGTCCCGAGACGGGTGGCGCGGTGGCGCCTCAGCGCCCTCACGAATCGACGATTCATTGTGTCTGTGTATTTTGTTCTCCTCCTGATGAATATATGTTTGACGGCCCCTGGGCCCGGCGAGGCCCCAGGGCTGATTCGATTAGAGGCCTCCCAGATGGGGCCCGAGCAGCTGGAGCCGGAGGATCGCGCCGCAGTGCCAAGGCATCCGATCCCTTCAGTAAACCTCCCCTCAGTGAAAACGGCCTGGGACCGAAATCGACGGACCTGGACCGCAAAAAATGACGGCCGCGACGCCCTCTCGCGAACCGAAAACGGCCAAGTCCTTAACCGACGTGTCAGGGTAGGTCTGTCCAACTCCGATGCATCGGCGCCGGCGTGGAGAATTTCTGGCCCCACATCGGACCGCATCTTCTATGCATCGGCGATGCGGAGCGATCCTTCGGCAGCATCTGATCGGACCCCACGCGGGACTCCCAGAGTGCCTTGTTCACGGCGCTACCAGGTCAGGGGGCGCTGGGCCGCGCACAGACCAGAGGTCCACCTGCTCGAAGTATATCCAGGGCAGCAGGAGCAGCTCCGGCGCGCGGTAGTAGCGGGTCACGACGTACTCCGTGAGGTTCTCTTCCTGCCGGATCGGATCGGATCGAGTGACGTGGGCTCAACATCACCCCAACTCTGCACTAGATTTGCGCACTCTCACAAACATCCTCGCGTCGAGGCAAAAGTCGCGACAAACATCTTGCATCTGCAAGTTTGGGCCCCAGGGGGCCCCTCCTGGGCACCTGGACCGTCCAAAAACGGCTCGGAATGACAAGCCAGTCCTAGGGGAAGGGGTCTGGGCCTCTGGGGAGCCGCAATTTGAAAGAGGCACGACGTGGGATGTCTGGGCTGTGGCCGCTCTCCAAATCGGGAAGCCCGGGAGGCTGTCCAAATGCCTGCAGAAGAATGCCTGATCTGGCTATCTGCCCAGACATCCCGATGTCCTCACTTTTTCAAGACGGGGTCCCTGGAAGTCCCAACCATTTCCCGATTGCTGGCTTTCTGTCCTCAGCTGTTTCTGACGGTCCTGTTGGCCCAGCAAGGGCCCCTGAAGTCCGAAAACTGATGAAAACGTCAAACTTGTTTTTGTTGAAGACTCTGGCCTTCGAAAACTGGCGACGGCCAGGAGGACGGCGCACCTCCCAATGGGCTGGAGACCTCGGCCAACTCTGGGTCTACATACAAAGTTCTTACGTGGTCATAACTAACGGATTGGTCTTTCCGATACCTCTGCCGGCTTTGCTGATGCTGTTGCTTTCACATTAAGGGGTCGACGTTGGGGTGTTTGTTTCAAGACGCTGGATGTCTGGGTGAGCCTGTCGACAAACCTGACCACCCGCGTGATAAGATGGCTCCGACGGGGGGCACCCGGGCGGGAGAGGACCCCCCTTCGCCCCCCGCGCAGTGCAGAGGGCCCTTGGGCCGGAGGTGGAGGCAGGAGAAGGAGAAGCGACGAGGGCGTGGAGGCAGGTGGCGACCTCCGTGGGCCTCCTCGATAATGTAGGATAAGTTATAACTATCTGTTCTCCTTCTATTGAGCCTATATCATAGTCGCATATTTCTAAACCTTTAATATGCTTTAAAGAACGATACATACGTATATCAAGTAGCCAATATGTGTTATCTGTTATAGATTTATACATTGTTAAAGGTGCATTTGCCTTCAATTTGTACGTACTTTTGTAGTATATAACTGCCGATGGGAGGCAGGATTCGGGTTCGGACTTTGCCACGTGCTCGACGAATTCCGAGCCCTACCCCTGGCGCCCATCGAGTTGCCTGAATCGTTGATCGGCGAGGGTAGGGTTCGGATTTCGCCAACCAGGAGGAGAAGGAGGAGGGGGAAGGGGAGAAAGATGAGAAGGCGCATGCGGAGAAAAAGAAGGAGAAAGAGGAATGGAGCGGAGAGGGAGGAGGAGGAGGAGGAGGAGGAGGAGGAGGAGGAGGAGGAGGAGGAGGAGGAGGAGGAGGAGGAGAGTGAGGAGATTTTGCGGCAGTCGTTGCCGATTGTAAAGGCCTGCCAAATAGGGCCACAATAGAACGGGTCGAAGTACCGCAGGACCGTGCCGCATCGCCGCCGCATGACCGATGCCCTGGCGACGTCGGGACGGAGAAAATCAGACTCCAAATCGCGCCGCATCGCCGATGCTCCGGCGATGCGGCGCGATCCTCCGATCACGCCTGCTCTGGCCCCGTTTGCGAGGCCTGTAATTTCGGGGCCTACGGACAACTTCACTCCATCGACCTCTCCTGCGATCCGCCAGCGCGAAAACATTGGGACATCGTGAAAAATCACGACTGGATCCCTGGAACCCGTCTTTCTGCGTTATCTTTCGGGCCAGAACGATCTGTGATAATCCTGGGGCTCGAGCCCAGGCGAAAACGCCGGGTGCAGACAAGCTGCAACGCCGGATCTCAGGGTCCCAGGACTGCTTCGAGGGTCTCCAGACGGTTCTCGGGCCTCGTCGGCGGTCTCTGGACGCTCCCTGGCGGCCAGGAGAGGTTTCCCGAGCAGCGGCCTTCCAGAGCAAGAGTGTCAATCGAAGTCGATGACCCTCCTTACAATCGGGGGGCGGATTGCAAACGACAGCCGAACGGGCACACGAATCTCCCGTCGGCAACCCGTGCTCCGCTCGTGGAGAAGGCACACTTCAATCTGCAAGGCCGAGCTGCTGAACAAAAACCCGACTGCATATCCTTCTTGCCGTCCTCTCCTCCTCCACCTCCTCCTCGCTCGTTCCTCTCATCCCCCAATTCTCCTTCCTCGCTCCCCAAACACACGCTGTCGTGTGTTTGTCACAACGTGGCTTTCCAAGGGTCTGGACCTCTTCTTGGGGTCGGGCTGCTCATGCCGAGTAATTTTTGGACGGTCTCGGGACGCCGTGTGGGCCTCCTATGGCAGACCATTGCTAACATCGGCTGCCGTGATTTGTTCAAGACACGCGGGGGTCAGGGGACGACGACGATGGCATCGACTTTCGCGATCCACTGACCTGTCCTGGGGCGCCTCCTGACTAGGGTTGCGAGGCGGGTCCAAAGAAGGGGCCACGAGGACGCCCCCCGAAGACCTAAAACAATGAAACATACATCGCTCCTCGATCGACGACGGCGATAATGCCGATACAAACTTGCTATTTATCAACCTCCAGACTCCTCCTGGGTCCATCCTGGCCAGTTTCTCATCCTAGACAACTTTTTGACGGTCTACGGGCCCGAAGCGCGCCTTCCCCCCCTGCCCGCGATAGACGAACCACCCCTGGCGCTCTCAGAAACTGCATCTGGGCAACCATTTCGCAGCGGATCCAGCCGTGGCGACGAGGAGGCTCGAACATACCGCAAACCGTATAGAACCAGAGCCTCCTCGAATCTTGAAGAAACACTATGTAACAAGCTGCAAATGTTCTGCCTCCAAGCGGGCCTTTACCGGGCCTAGGGACCATGACCATCACCAAAACCACTCAAGATGATAAGCCGATCCCCGGTAAATAATCCAGACCTCTCAGGGGTCACGTTGTGAAATGATCACGACGCTTGATGTCTAGGAACCTCGACCCTCGAAAGACGACGACGATCCTCGAATGAGGAAAGCGGCAGCAGTAACGGCGACGACTACGACGACGGTCCTCGCTGAGGCGCCCCCGGGCCAGGCCGAAGTCGGCAATCCTCAGGGTGCAGTCCTTGTTCACGAGCACATTCGAGGGCTTGAGGTCCCTTCTCAGGGGTTCGTCTGCCCTCCTCCTCCTCCTCCTCCTCGTCCTACTCCTCGCGTCGAGGTTTGCGGACGCGTACGTCGGTTCTGCCAGCATCAGGATGCTGTCCTCGAGCCGCGCCTCGACGAAAGCGTTTCCGGGGTGCCCGAATCGTCGCGGGAGGGCAAAAGAATGACCTGAAAACCAAACACTCATCGCGCTGCTAAATCTGACGACGGGATCTGCTTGGCCGGTTTCGGCTTTTGGGGTCTTCCCAAAAGTAAGAAATAGTAAAAAACTGTGGATAATCGTTTCGGTGCCCCAGACAATCACAATGACCAACAACACAAAACTGGTCCGCGGCCGAAAACAACTGTGTGAAAAGTTTCTCATGAAGGACAAAGGTCCTGAAGGCAACTGATTTTGTAACCTTTGGGTTTCACCCAAGACCTAGATTTCATCCAACGCAGTTTTTTCTGACTGGCCCAAGGAGCCCAGGACGGACCCAAGGAGGCAGAATATCAAGACCTCAGGGCCGTTTGACCTCTGAACCCCGCCACTTGAAGGTGGCAGAGGAAACAGGGCAAATGTTGCCATGCTGGTGAAGAAGCGCTTGGGCGCTGTCGGCGTCTAAAGCTGCTCGTCCCCACCCCGCGGACGACCGCCGAGCCATCCTAGGATGTTCTTCAAAGCCGACCACGGCGACAGCACAATCGAAAACCGACCGAACTGACAACGAATTCGAAGCAACCGAAACCGACATGCGGCGCAGCGACGCAGCAACGATGTAACAACCGATCGAGGCTTACCGACCGAACGCAACCGACCGCGAAGCCGCAGAACCGACTGAACCGCGGACATCCCTGTTCTTGACTGCCGGCGCGGGAGTCCCACCTCCCCTTTCCTGTGGATGGGCATCGTTTAACCGTTCCCTATCCCCACCGGCGCTGCCTGGGCCCCAATGGCCGATTCCCCCCCCCTCGGATGGGTATACATGTCTTCCCTTCGGGTTTCGAGGGACGCATCCCCAACTGGTGGGATGGGATGGCGGGGCTGAGATAACATGGCCCCATCGGGATGGAGCTCGTTTGAACGGTGTTGAGTCGGGGGCGGCCAAGAGGGGTGCGTCCAAGAGGGGGGGAGCGCAAATCATGGCCGGCGGCATGTGCGCGGCCTAGGGAGGGGGGCCAGGGACGCAATGAAAGAAGAAGAGGCGCCATGAAATCTGGGGAACTATCCTGGCCCTCGCCATGATATCCCCCCCCTAGTCATCACCCCCCTCTTGGCCGCCCCCGAAAAGTCGAGTGGGCGTGGCGAACGCCAAACGAATCTGACGGGTGATGCCCGTCGCGCAACACCAACAAACGACGCCTTGGGTGCAGCCAGCCTTCCGCCGCGGCTCCTCCGATCCAGGAAGGCAAGGCCCTTCTTGGAACGCCTCATTCGGACCGAGAGGGAGGAGGAGGAGGAGGAGGAGGAGGAGGAGGAGGAGGAGGAGGAGGAGGAGGAGGAGGATAGGGAGGAAAGGGAGGAAAGGGAGGAGGAGGAGGAAGAGGAGGAGGAGGAGGAGGTGCTCGCGCCCCCCACCCGGCGGCCAACCATCGATAGGTCCCAGAATTGATCCCCCCTCCTTCACCGTCCTGCCTCCTGCTCTTCCTTCAGCCTCCCTCCTCCTTCTCCTCCCTCCATCCTTTCCCTTCATCCCTCCTTCTCCTCCTCCTCCTCCTCCTCCTCCTCCTCCTCTTCCTCCCCTCCTCCTCTTCTCCTCTCCTCCTCCTCCTCCTCCTCCTCTACCTTCCTCCTCTACCTTCCTCCTCCTTCTCCTTCCTCCTCTTCCTCCTCCGCCCATCGGGGAACGGCAGACAAATAGTCAGACCCGCCCCGCCGTGGTCCCCCTCGAATCTGGATATCCCGTCCTCGCCACCTCCTCCCTCCGTCTCGCGGCCAAAGATCTCTGGCAACTGGCTTAATATATATTTCTGGTTCGCGCGCGCGGGGCCGCCCCTGGGAATCCCCAGGCGAAAAGCACCCCGACCAACGCCAGCGTGACCTCCGCGCCTCGGGTCAGAGATTGTCATTGCTCCTGGGTGCGAACCTCCAGGCCCTCCAGAGCACCCCAGGAGCGCTTCAAGCGGCCTCCACGAGAGCCCAAGGTGGTGCGACACAGCCCACGAGCGCTCCAAGACGCCCAATGCAGTCTCTGGACGGCCTGGGCGGCCTGGGACGCCTCCGAAATGCCTCAAGGGAGCACTAAGAGAATCCCCAAGGGCAATTTTCAGGGATCGACTGTGAAGGTTCCCGAACAATTATCACTTTGTCGCCCATTCGTGTTTCCGGCACCGCAAGACGGCTGAGGAGGCTCCCAATATCTCCCCAAGAAAACCCACGAGGCTCCCAAGAAGGCCCCAAGGCGGCCCAAGAGGCCCCTCACGGAAGCTCCAGAGGCCCCCAAGAGCAAACCCCAGATGATCCTCCAAGAAACACCAGGAAAGGAATCCCAAAAGAGTCCAAGAGTCTCAACTGATGCTCAAAGAACCCCAATGAAATCTTAGGGGAATCCCCAAACGCAATCCCGAGGTAGGAGGAGGAGGAAGAGGAACAATACAACACGACAAGGGAATACGAAGGTTCGCTTAGACATAGGCAATCCTTATTGGCATCATAATACCGGAATAATTGTTTAGGGGGTCGTGAATCTACGGAGGGCTGTCGCAGACGCTGTCCTATTTACGCGCCCACCCCGTGATATGCTAGCTCATTCAGGAAACATAACATGGTTAACTGGTCCTGGTGGTCCCCGTGGCGGTCCAGCACGCACAGGAATCGCAACGAAACATCAATGTAGTATGAGATGAGTCGCGAAAGAATATCACGGGGATTCCAAAGGACGCCCAAAGGAACCTTAAATAAGTCCCAAAAGAACCAGCAAGGATGTTGAAATAATATTAACGCAATCCAAACGGAGTCCTGAAGACATATCGCTGGAATGTCCAATACATATCCAAGAGTTCCTAAACAAACAGGAACAACAACTCGAGGACAGGAAAGATGGAAAGGAACATGCACATAGTAATATAAATAACAAATGCGGATTTGCTTGGACATAGGGATATCGCAGACGCGTTCCGCGAACCCCTCCCCCGTGTCATGTTAGCTGCTAGTGCGTACAACTTTTTAAATCACCGGCCTAAGTGGTCGCCGTGGCGGCACAACACGCAAAGGAATCGCAAAGGAACCGCGAACGAATGCTAAACTAATGTCAAAGGGATCTGAAGGGGATCTCAGAAAGAGCCCAAGGGAATCTCAAACGGAGTCTTGAAGGGATCTCAACGGACTCTCAAAGAAATTCCAAGGCAATCCCTTTGGAGTCTCCCTGGACCCGAACAGCCCATGTTGAGACTTGGCTGTGGTCCCGCATTTGCAACCGACGCAATTCTCCCTCCACCCATCTATGGTAGAATCCCTGGCTCCGAGCACTCGTTGAGTGTATACATTTCGCAGGCCTCCGCGGGGGGTATCGCTGCCGCGCTGGCCCCGGTGTCAGCAGCGTTATACATCCCCCTGATGGGGAGGGGGCACTGATTGGTTCCCTGGGTCCTGCAGCTTGAGTAGGAAACTATCAACTGCTGAAGCAAGGCAGCAACTCACGCAGATTGAAATCCTGGAGCAACAGAAAAAACATGCTCTCGCAGACCCTGCCTGCGCCTCTCGATGGCATCCCGCCCACCCCCCGAGATCTGCGCCCAGGGCCTGTGCACCACGCCCGCCGAGTGCATGTACTTCAGGCCGCGCAGGATCTGGCACACGAAGGCCTCCGGACTGAAGGCTTTTATGAGGGAGCCCACAAAGGACGTACGCGCAGAACTATGTACATGAACACGGCCCCTCGATCCGCGAGACCGGCCGCATGATACGAACGTTCGCGCAAAGCGTACTCTCGAAGCCCGCGTGGATTCATGTAAATGTACGTCCTTCTCCGCTCCTGATTCATGACCAATTCCGTGTCGCGACGATTCGCGCGCTGCTTTCTGACACCGCATCGATCGTTCCACCTTGACCGGTCGCACCTTTCCAGAAGCGCAGATCGTCCAGTATCGATCGAATCGGGTTCAAACTTGAACTCCCGCGCTGGGCTTACCGCCGAGTCGAAGTGGCACGAACCTGCCGCACCCCGAGGTATCGGAGGGATTCGCACGAAGGTCAGCCACCGCTTCGCCGAGCTGGCCGACACCACAACCCGCACCAGAAGCCGGCTTTGCCGCAGCCCGAGGCCCCGTCTCGAAGGAACGCAGCGCCGCGACCCTTTGCTTTCTCAGCGCAGCATCAACGCGTGCACACGAACTGGGCCCGACCCCACAGGCGTGTCTACGACAACGACCTCCGACGTCTCCGCCAGCGCAGCCACGGAGCAGCCTAGCGCCGCGAAGAGCTTCGGGGCGCCGCGCGAGGCCTCGCGCCACTCGCCGAGGTCGCCACCGCCTGCGACGTCCGCGACCAGCGTCTCCGCGGGGCCGCGCTGGTGATAACCGTCCCCGAACTCGTCGGTGAGCTCCCCCGTGTTGCCACCGAAGAGCACCAGCGGCCCCTCTGGCAGCCGCAGCAGCGTCGCCTCCAGCCGGGGCCCCGCCTCCCCTGGAGGGAGCTCCTCCGCCTGCGCTGCGGCGGAGCCCTGCAGCCTCTGGAGCAGCCTGCAGCTCATGCGCGCCTCTCCCCTGGGGGAACGAACAATGACATGAGCATAAAAACTCGGAGGTCCGCGCGGATTTCTCGGGTCGGCGGTGGGGCCCCCTGGCGGCGCCTCCAGCGCGGATCCAAGAAATCCGCGCGGACCTCCGAGTTGCTGTGTTGTGTGACTTTCCGTTCCCCTCTCCCCCCTCTCCCGGCCCCTCCGCGAGCCGCAGCACCTGGCACCGCGTGGGCCGCGGCTCCGACGCCGTCCCGCCGTGGCCGCCGCACACGGCCAGGACCCCGTGGCCCAGGTGGCAGGTCGCGTGGCGCATCCGCCCAGCGCCGCCGCGCGCGTCCGCCGCCCAGCCGCTCTCGCCGGCGTCCACGCGGCACCACTCCTCCGTCCGCGTGTCGAGCGCCCAGAGCTCGGCGCTGCCACCCCCGTCCTGCGGCAGGACTGGACCTAAACGTGTTGCTTTTCGTTCTGTGCTTCGCTTTGCTCTACCTGTTTCCCTGCACCGCCCTCCCAAAACGAAGAACAAGACACAGCCGAAGTCCAGCAACACAGCGTTTAGGCTCATCCTTATGTCGGGCGTGTCCCCCTACAGGGGGATTCTCGACGAAAAAACTACCGCCAAAATACACCAAAAAGGTCAAAAAATACTCAACAAATAGCCCCCAGACTATTTTTGGATTTTTTTTGACCATTTTTGGTGTATTTCTTATTTTTCGTCGAAAGTCCCCCTGTAGGGGGACAGGCCCGACGTAAGCACATCCCTGTCCTGCAGCTCCCCCCCGCTCACGACCACCTGCCGACCAACCGCCGACATGGCGTGATAGGCGCGAGCCTCGGGCCTCTGCGCCCCGCCGATCTCTCGCCACAGGGTCAGAGATGCCGGCAGGCTGCCCTCCTCACCGAGGTCCATCACCCAGGCATCGTCCAGCGCCTCGCGCTGCCAGCTGTGCCCGCCGAAGAGGACGATCTTGCCGTCCTCTGTCGTCACGAGGCTATGATGGAAGCGAGGGACCGGACGGGGTGCAGCCATACCCACGACAGGACCTAAGCCCAGCTGCTCCCACGCTGGGCGCGAGGCCCACAAATCAAGCCGCCACGTGTCGTCGTCCCTGCAGCCGCTATCAAGCAGGCCCCCGTGCACTACAAGCCATCGCCCACCGACCACGACGGCGTCGTGGTGAGCCCGCCCTGGTGGCAGCGCGCCCTGCGGCGTGACTCGATGCCACTCCCCTGTGCGGCCGTCCCCCTCGCCGCCGCGCCCTTCTGCGAGCTCCAGCAACCATACGTCGTTCAGCACTGGAGGCGGCTGGGGGGTCTGAGCTGGTTGGGCCGCGAGAAAGTCGGCCAAGAGGGGGGATACGGGCAAGTCCGCATAACATCCACCTGGTGCAATTTTTCACCCAAGATCCGTTTTTGACTGTCCAGGGGACCGGAAATGGCGCCCGGAGGCGGAGCAAAAGCAACAAGTCTTCCCGAATCAAGAGCCTCAAACCTCGTCTCCCCCTCCACCTCCTGCTCGCCAAAACCAATGCCGGGGCACCTCAGACTCCCACCCGGCTCCGAGTTCAGCATGCGGCCGCTCTCGGTGGACACGCCCCCGAACAGGCAGAGCCTGCGGCTGCCGTCGCCCAGGGCGGTGAGGCTGCCCCGCAGCCGGCCCGGGGGCACGGCGCCGCCACCCTCGGACACCCGGCGCCAGGTCGCCGACTCGATGGCGCGGAGCCCGTCGATGCGCTGCCGCAGCGCCGCCAAGTCCGCGTCCGAGAGGCCGCCACCTCCGAGATCGCCGCCGGCACCACCGGCGGCGAGGCGAGCGGTGCACCGCGGTGCTCCCGGCACGGCGCGCCTGCGCCCGCCGCCGCCGCACAGCTCCGGCGCCCCTGGGGATTCCTCGGAGCCCCGCGCGCGGAGTTCTCGGATCGGCGCTTCGAAGGCGCCGCCGCGGGGCCCAACGCCGACCCAAGAAACCAGCGCGGAGCCACGGGAAACGAGGCCCATGGAGCTCTTCCTTCTCTGAGCCCTGGCGCCCTGGCGCGCAGCGCCGAGCAGCAGCGCCGGCGCGCAGCGGGCCGCGGGAGGTCGCTGGCGCGCCCGCGCGCAGCGCGGCGCCTGGTGCAGCGCCGCGGGGGAGGCCGGCGGCCGCCCGCGCGGCACCGCCGCGAGCAGCGCCGAGGCGAGCAGCGCCGCGGCGGCGGGGCGGGGCGCCCGCATCACGTGGGCGTTGCTTGATGAAGGCTGTTGTCAGTGGGGGCGATGTATGTATGTATGTATGTATGTATGTGTATATATATATATATAATATATATATATATATTATGTATGTATGCATTCATGCATGTATGTATGTATGCATGCATTTAGGTATGTATGTATGTATGGACGCATGTTGTTTTATGTACGTATATATGTATGTATGGCTACATGTATATATGTATGTATATGTATATGTATATGTATATGTATATGTCCATGTACATGTACATGCACATGTACATGTACATGTATGTGTATTTGTATATGTATATGTATAAGTATATGTATATGTATATGTATATGTTTATGTGTATGTGTATGTATGTATGTATGTATGTATGCATGTATGTATGTATGTATGTATGTATGTATGTATATGCATACATGCATGTATGTTTGTATGCATGTATGTATGCGTGTCTGTATGTAGGTGTGTATGCATGTATGTATATATATACACATGTATGTATATATACATACATGTGGATGCATGTAATTATGTATGTATGTATGTATGTATATATGTATGTATGTGTGTATGCATGTGTGTATGCATGTTTGTATACATGTATGTATACTTGTACACAACATATATACATATATGTAAGTATACATGTATGTATATGTGCTTGCATGCATGTATGCATGTATGTGTGCATGTCTGTAAGTATATGTGTATGTATGTATGTATGTATATATGTGTATGTGTATGTGTATGTGTGTATGTGTGTATGTATGTATGTATGTATGTATGCATGTGCGTATGTATGTATGTATGTATGTATGTATGTATGCATGCATGCATGCATGCATGTATGTATGTATGTTTGTATGCATGCATGTATGTATGTATGTATGTACACACCGTCTACACATACATGTATATAGATGTGTGCATGAAAATAGCTAAATCCACTTTTGTACGTAGCACCCCGCATATGCGGGTAAGAGTGAAGGGGCGGTGGGGACGTCGGCACTCTGCGCGACTCTGGAGAAGCCCGCCGCAAACGCCAAAATTTCACAAACCATACAACGAACCCGCCGCAGACGCCGATTTCTTCGAACCAATGTGGATCGGTCGCGGGTGGGTCGCGGGTGGATCGCGGATGGGTCACGGGAGGGTCGCGGGTGGGTCGCGGAATGGGTCGTGGGGTGGGTCGCGGGGTGGGTCGCAGATGGAGCGGGGTGGGTCGCGGGTGGGTCGCGGGTGGGTCGCGGGGTCGCGGGTGGGTCGCGGGTGGGTCGCGGGGTGGGCGCGCGGGGGGGTCGCGGGGTGGGTCGCGGGGTGGGTCGCGGGGTGGGTCGCGGGGTGGGTCGCAGTGGGTCGCAGTTCGGTCGCGGATGGGTCGCGGGGTGGGTCGCGGGTGTGTCGCGGGGTGTGTCGCGGGGTGTGTCGCGGGGTGGGTCGCGGGGTGGGTCGCGGGGTGGGTCGCGGGGTGGATCGCGGGGTGGGTCGCGGGGGGGACGACGACAACAAACAACAAACAACAAACAACAAACAACAAACAACAAACAACAACAAGGACAGGGACCTTCCCTGCCGGCGCTCGGGCTCCTCCAGAGCTCTCCTCCAAGGGGGGCAGGAGTCGTCCCCGGGCCCCGGGGCCCCCAACCCCCCTCCCCCCCAGACAACAACAATAACAACAACAACAACAATCACTTTACCCGAACGCTCAGTGTTCTCACCAGTGCCAGGGTTTTCATGCGACGCCAGCCAATGCCCCCACTTTGTGGGGGGGCAGTGCAAGCTCTACCAAATATCCACACGACTCTTCGCCACCACCCACACCCAGCTTCCCGCCCTATGACGTTCGGACACTTCACTTCGTGGCCTGCGGACGACCGTGGCTACTACACTGGCGTGGAGTACACACCCACAGAAGTTGTTAAGCCTTGTTAACCCACAGAAGTTGTTAAGCCTTCCACAGAACATCTGTTGCATATGATGCATATGGTACATGATACACATGATACACATGATACGTACTCACAAGATAGTTGATCACATCTTTAGGGCAAATTCCTGAGGGATGTGGGAATACACAAGAGAGAGAGGATATGGTTGTCCCGATGGTTGTCTCGATGGTTGTCCCGATGGTTGTCCTGATGGTTGTGGTTGTCCCGATCGTTGTCCCGATGATTGTCCCGATGGTTGTCCTGATGGTTGTGCTTGTCCCGATCGTTGTCCCGATGACTGTCCCGATGATTGTCCCGATGGTTGTCCCGATGGTTGTTCCGATGGTTGTCCCGATGGTTGTCCCGATGGTTGTGAGCGATGCCGGATCCTCACGCCCCCCGCCGGAGGAGGAGGAGGAGGAGGAGCAGGACAAGGAGGAAAGGAGAGAAGAGAGAGGAGGGGCGGGAACGGCGCTTGCACGCCCACCCACCGTCTTTTCCCCGCCGCGGCTCTAAAGAGACGAGTTCGTGTGCTCGTCATCTTCTGGCATACGCCCGCCCCTGATGGCACGGATGGGGCGCAATGCTGCCAGCTGGGCTCCTGGCAGAAATACATCAGGGGCCAAGTGTCCAAGCATGGTGCCGATGCGCCTCCTCGCGGATACATCGCCCGCGCGTGCGAGGGGCGCCAATACCGCCAGGACGCCCTGGACATGCGCCGGCATACGCAGATCCACCTGGTAATCCATGACATTGCCATACTGGGACTGCCCGCAAGAACGCCATACTGGCATGTGCCACCAATGGTCCTGCTTCGGGAAATAGGTGATACCATCGTTGACGTCGTGGGAGGCATTCCACAGAGCCATAGATTGCGGCTCAATGCCCATGGGTCCCGTGTGTGTTGCCACAAATACGTCCAGGCTCGCCGTGCGCCTGTGCGACAGACCTGATACCACCTCGGAGTGCATGCGCCTGCGCATGCCGCCGGGCCCGACGAAGAGCCTGCGCAAGCCCGCATACAACAGGAGATACCGACGAAGGGCCCGTGAATACCCAGGAGATGCAACAGCGTGCGCACGCCCGCATACACCCAGCCGCCGGGCCCGACGAAGACGTGCGCTCTCCAGTTCGGTATACCAGCTTGGGTGCACAGCCGCTGCACATACCGCCGCTTCTTGGAAGCATCTTGGGGCCTCTTGGGGGCTTATTGGGTCCTCACGGCGGGCTCTTGGGGCCTCTTGAAGGCCTCCTGGGGCAACCTATGGCGCAACCAGTAGGGGGGCGTTTTATTCTCGGCGGCCGAGGGCGCAACCTATGGCGCAACCAATAGGGGGGCGTTTTATTCTCGGCGGCCGAGGGCGCAACCTATGGCGCAACCGCAAGGGATTGTGGCCCCTGGCAGGCGCGCGAACCCCGTTGCAAGAGCGTGCGAAAGTAGCTCGCGCGAGCTCATGTAACATAAATGTTGGAAAACCATTGGTTTTTTTAGGATTCGGACAGCGCGCGCGGGTAGAAATTTTGAAAAGTCGTGCAGGTGTTTTTCGAGGACCTACGGTGCGATTCGTGTGATTTTATGATGCGCGGTGCTAAAATTCTTAAGAAGCCCAATGGTTTTTGGAGATTTCGGCGTGCGCGCGCGAAGAAAAAACGAATGTGTCCCGCATGGTATTATTTGACAGGGATGATGGCCCTGGCAGGTGCGCAACCGTTGTCGCAGAAGTTCGAAAAAGTTGCTCGCAAAAGCCCGTTTGACAGAAATCGCTCCTCATCCTAAAGTTTGCCCACTTTTACTTCCATTGAGATTTTGACATTTTTTGTTGAAAAACCATTGGTTTTTTGATGTTTTTATGTTAAAATCGCTGCGAACACTAAGGTTTTGGAAGGATTTCGTCTTGCGCGCGCGAATGTCCACTTTACCTTATTTTTTGCAAGGGATTCTTGAAATTTGATTATATTAGAACAAGAAATGTCATTTTCTATTGTTTTTTGCAAGGGAAAGCGGATTACAACAAAACAACCGGATCCTGTACACACCCTCTTTTCTGAGGCTTCCTCACGAAAATGATGAAAATGTAGCTGCGGCCTAGGCGGCGCAGGGGGGGCGCGCACCAGGGGGCCCAACAATAATTATTCTTTAGAATAAATAATGTTCAACAACAACAACAACAACAACAACAACAACAACACACCGGGAACGCATACAAAAAACCGGAGGAGTCCCTCAGGACTCTGGTGCTGAATCGGAGTGGTGACTTACGTGTGCGCGCTAGAGATGCGAGGAACTGTGTGCGCCCTTTACGATTCCCGCGAAAACCCTACAGGGGTCCGATAAAAAAACCTACAGAGATCCTATAGAAGCCGTACAGGGGTCCTATAGAGACCCTACAGGGATCCGATAGACACCCTGCAGGGGTCCTACACAAACCCTAAAACAATCCTACAAAAACCCGACAACGATCCAACAGAAACCCTATATGGATCCTACAGAACGCCTATAAAATCCGGCATAAACCTTTAGAAAGATCCGACAGACACCCGGTAAAGGATCCGGCAGAAATCCGATAAGGATCCGGCGGGAACCCTCTAAGAATCCTACGGGAACCCGAGAAGGATCTTCCAGAAACCCTACAAGGATCCTACAAAAACCTTTCGATCGAATTCCTATAATGATCCGAGAGAAACCCTATATGGATCCCACAGAAACCCTATAATGATCCGAGAGAAACCCTATAAGGATCCTGCATAAACCCTATACAAATCCTACGTAATACCTGCAAGGATCCTACAGAAACCCTAGAAGGACCCGACAGAAATCCTATACGGATCCTCCTCCTCCTCAATCCTACCAGCTGTCATAGGATCCCGATGGGGATCCCGCCAGCTGCAACGCAATCCCGATCGGCATCCGACCCGCTGCAATACGATCCCTACAGGGGTCCTACCAGCTGTCATGGGATCCGTATAGGCATACTACCAGCTGTAATATGGAGATCCTACGAGCTGCAATAATATCCCGATAGGCATCCAACCAACTGCAATACGATCCCTACAGGGACCCTACCGGCTGCAAACAGATCCTTGTTGGGATCCGACCAGCTTCAGTACGATCCCTACAGGGACTCGACCAGCTGTCATAGGACCCCAATGAAAGGATCCTATCAGCTACAGTAAGATCCGTATAGAGATCCTACCAGCTACAATAAAACCCCGTACACAAATCCTACCAGCTGCAATAGGATCCCCACAGGGAACCTACCAGCTATCATAGGATCCCTATAAAAAGGACCTCGCCAGCTACAATAAGATCCTTATACGAATCCTACCGGCTGCAATAGGATCCCTACAGGGATCCTGCTAGCTGTCATCGGACACCTATAGGGATCCCGCAAGCTGCACTCGGATCCTCATAGGGATCCCACCAGCTGCAATAGGACTCCATACAGGGATCCTACCAGCTGTAATAGGATCCCTACAGGGATGCTACCAACTGCAATAGGATTCCCATGGGGGTTCTACCAGTTGCAATATGACCCCAGACAAAGATCCTACCAGCTGCAATACGATCCTTATACGGATCTTACCCGTTGCAATAGGATCCATGCGTGGATCCGACCAGGTATCATAGCATCCATACGAGGATCCTGCCATCTGCGCTGGGATCCTTAGAAGACACATCCTAGCTACAATTGGATCCCTACAGGGATCCTTCCACCTTCATGGAAGTCTCGAGCGAGAGCGCCGTTCCTGAGTTCGGGGGCCTCTCTGGCCAGGGTATCTCAGGGTAAACTGCAAGGAAGTGTTCAAAGAAAATGTAACCGGCATGGAGGCGAAAACGCGCGGAACCGTTTCCGGAGATCGTCTTCTGGTGGCTGCCCTCGCCGTTGCACGCAGGGGCAAGCGCCCGTCTGTATCCGATGGGCTGGTGCAGAATATCAGAATCCTGAGCGCGAGCCTGATGAAAAGCGAATGGAACCGCTCGAAAAGCCGTGCCGCGCGTGCTGGGCGCAACGCCAACAGCCTTCCACGAGCGACGTTGCAGCGTGGTGAGGCCATCGTCCGCGCCCCAACCGCTCTTCCACATCTGACGCATGGCGATCATCCCGCGCGCGGAGAGAATGCACGGGTGTGTCTTTAGACACACTCGGCAGCAGCGATGGAAGGCCCTAGACCGCAAGCAGCATTGTTTGTAATAGGCGCGCGGTACCCGCCGATGATCGGGCAGCGCAACAGAAACCCGGCAACGTCCAACGTATTCTTTTCAGCAGAATGCGGCGGGCACAATCCGCCACCGTACTCTTTTGGCACGTTGAGACGCGGGGGAATGCCAAATGCTGTCTGGTCGGGTTCCTGGCGCTCTCTAAGGGCCCCCCCCCCCTCCGGGAAGCGTAGAGCTGCGTGGGCCAGCCCAACTTTTGGGGGCCCCTGGGCGGCCATTGCACCTCCCCGGGGCTCTCCGCAGGCTCCAGGGCGGCCTTGGAAGGCCATCCAAGCCGCCAACATGGCCCAACATGCCTCCAAAACGGCTGTAGATTTCTCCAAGAGGGCCCAAGGTGGCCCAAGAGGGACGAACACAAAAACCCACGACAGTTTCAGAAAGCTCCACGAGGAGCCTCCGGAGGGCCAGGAAGCATAAACAAATGGTTCTCCTGTTGGTTCTCACTGGTTTTTGGATGCTCGCTTTTCTGGGCCCCCGACAGCTCGAGACAGAGAAGGAAGCCTCCAGGATCGCCCCAAGAGGGCCCAACTGAGTTCCAAGCTGAACCAAGAGGCGCCCACAATGGCCCCAGGAAGGACCGAGAGGGCTCATGGACGAGCCAAAACGCCCCATGATAGCCTAAAGCGAGCCTGCGATGTCGCCCAGAAAGACCCAGGACGGCCGCTCGACTGCCCCAAAAAGGTCGCAAGATACCCTCCAGACGGCGAAGACGGCCCCAAGACCGCCTAAGAGAGCCCCAAGACGGCTAAAGGGGCCGAACCACTGCCAAAGAAGGCCCCAAGGGGCCCCCATGACTGCCCCACGCGAGCCCCGGACGGTTCTCAGACCGCCCGTGCGAGCTAGCTTTTCTAAGAGCTCCTCCAGACATGGAGATGAAAAAGATGTCTCATGTAACGGCCTTCCATTTCGTCCTCCGCGTCCCCTGTCCACCTGCGCGACGTTCAAAACAATGTCGGCAAGTTGCAGGTGTTCCCAACGATAGCCCAGCGCCAGCTCAGCATGCCCCTCGCCGCCGCCATCGTCATCGTCGTCGTCGCCCCCAGCAACATTGTCATCAGCATCATCATACTCACTGTCATTCGGACAGCCGCCACCTGAGGGGCTGGGCTGGCAGGGCGGCGGGACTTGCCGCGGGCGGCTGGATGCAGCTGGCGCAGTCGGCGCCCTACTCTTCGCAGCCCTTGTCGCGCTCGATTGTTTCGGCCCGACACGTCCTATTCATCCCCTCTCCCCCCTCTCGTCCTCCATGGAAGAAGCAAGCCGTCGAAAAACCACGTCCTGTTGACACTGCCCGGCATCGCCTCACCTCCGCGCATCAACGCTTCCCAATGCGGCCGCCGTGCGTGTAGAATTCTGATGCAACCTCGAATGCACGTCATATCAGGCCCACTTCCACCCGCCGCCGAACAAGCGTCGTCCTCCAGGACCAAGACATTGCCCCAACCGTTTGACATTGCGATGTCAATAGCGCCCACGTGGGATAACCTACACCCTAGTCGGCACCAACTGTCCACAGCACCTGCTCGATGCAACCGGCCTGGGCGGAGCTCGGAGGATGCCCGCTCTTCACCCGAAGTCCATGAAAACAGCCGCGTCGACTCGCCATTGCCTTGGTCGCGGCGCATTCGCCCGTCCGATTGAGACAACAACTTCCCATCAATTGCTTCGACAATTCAGGTGGGCGTTCCGCGGAGGCTCTCCAACGCGCCGTTGATGCTGGCGCGTCGATCACGCCGCCGCTTCCGATTAATGGCTAAGACACCGCGCAACAGAGGCATGATCAAGGAATACCTCCACAATGAGATCGCCAATCGCTGTGCGCTTCTGAACGAGCAAACGAATCGCTGTGGAGCTAGGAATATCCAGGGCCACCCTGGAACCAAAACGGCCACGACGGCATAGTCATGCCAACGTCGTCTGCATCGCCGCCACGAAACAATTTCCACTCAACCTACATGGCCTGTTAGGCTTCGCGGTGTTCCAACAACATTGCGCGCTATCCCAGAGCACGCTGAACTCCGCGCACGCGACGCACGATTTGCCCAATGCCACTGAGGACACCCTGGCCAGACGCGAACCAAGAAGTGCAGCTAGCGAACCACGGGCCCAAGGAGCATGGGGAAGGGAACCACGACCACCGTCCTGATCCCACACCTTTGAAACCGAAGACAGGTCTCGCCCGCCACAGCCGCGACCAGATGCCGCCACTCCGAGAAACGACGACGACGGCGTTGCCATCGACAGCGTCCTGGACACCGCACCATGATACATTCTCCACCCTAACCTACAGACTCTGTTAGGCCATTGAATGCTCCAACAACAACGCATGGCATTCAACAACATGAACAAACCCGCACGTGCGAAACACGATCTGCCCAATGCCTACGAGGACACGATGGCCTGGTACGGAACAATTCAACGCAGCAACCGAATCACGAACACGGTGAACATGCCGGGGACAACCGCCGCGAACATCCATATTACACGCCTCCACATCCAGAACATCCGAAGCCGCAGACGCTGCTCCCCCGCCGCCGCCGCCACTACCAGATGCCGCCACTCCGAGAGACCGCGTCGACGGTGACGTTACCAACACCACACCATGAAACGCTCTCCGCTCCACCTACATACCCTGTTGGGCCACCTCGCCCTCCAGCGAAACCGCGCGGCATCCAGCGCCATGCGCAACCCCGCGCGCGCGCGAGGCACGATTTGCCCAATGCTTATGAGGGCGCCCGGGCCTGGACCCCTGCACAATGGCATAGGCAATCGTTGCTTGTTGCGAAGATACGAGAGACATTGCTCTGCGACGATGATCTCGCGCGCAACCCTGATATCAGACCAACCGCGACGGCAATGTCATCGACGTCGTCATCAACATCGCCACCGTGATACATTCACCACTCTACCAACACAACATATGAGGCCACACGGCGTTCCAACAACGTAGCACGGCATCCACCAACATGCGCAACTCCGCGCGCACGCTGCGCGATTTGCCCAATGTTTATGAGGACACCCAGGTCTGACGCAAACGAACGCACTGCACCGCGCAAACCACGAGCGCTGTTAGTTAGCCGCATTGTGCTCCAGCACAAGCGCGCGGCATCCGACAGCGCGCGCAAATCCGCGCGCGCGAAGCACGGTTTGCCCAAACGCTCACGAGGGCACCATGGCCTTCAGCGAATCCACTCAGCGAAGCGCGCGAACCGCAAGCGCGAGCGACGTGGCAACCGCCCTCCATTTGTCGGGGGTGAAAAGGCGCGTGAGATAATTGGCTGCTTCCCTCCCCCTTTCCCGCCCCGCGGGGGTCCAAACTCGCGTTCAAGGGGGGGGGCGGGGGGCGGGGGCGCTAACTCCCGAACGCGCCCCGGGGGGCCCCGGGGGCCATGTTCGAGGCCCAGCCCGTCGGTTCAGAGGAGGAGGGCGAGGGGGTGGGCGAAGAGGAAGACGAAGAGGAGGAGGAGATCTGCCGCGAGCCTCCGAAAGTTCAGGTTGAAGGCTTCCTTGTAGATGGTCTCCGTGGAGAACTGGAGGTTCCTCTCGGGGGGAAGGCGAGATGAGGCAACGGCGCGGCGACAACGGAGAAGCCCCCCCTCGAAATCGCCCCCCCCCCCCCGCCCCGCTCCCCCCCCTCCCCGCCAGGCCGAATCGCCCCTCGAAGTCGGTCCCTGGGCCCCTCCTGGATTCCACGCGCGCCAGTTCTCGAAGCCACGTCCGGCCGCGGCCGCGAAAGGATCCCCTGAATGCCCGAGAGCATCGAGTCCCCAACATGAGCCCGGTCGGTTTTCGAACCATAATCTGGCCCGCCCAGCGGCTGCGCGGAGCGACTCCGGCGCCGCCGGAACGGAGATCCCCGCCCCAGACCCGTGTCCAACGGCCCGGGGGCCGAACGAACGGACTCGCGGACCAAAGTCGAGGGGGAGCCAACGAAATCAAGTTGCCGAGAGAAGCGACGACGACGACGACAACGACGACGACGACGACGGCGGCGAAGACGACGACGGGGGCGACGGAGACGGCGACGGCGACGACGACGTCGTCGTCGCCCCCCGTTGTCGTCGTCGTCGTCGTCGTCGCCGTCGCCGTCGCCTCCGTCGTCGTCTTCGCCGCCGTCGTCGTCGTCGTCGTCGTCGTCGACGTCGTCGTCGCCGTCGTCGCCGTCGTCGTCGTCGTCGTCGTCGCCGAGACGAGGAAGAAGGAGGCATGACCGACCACCCATGCTGCCGACGATTGCACCTGCTCTTTTACACCACCATCCCCGCCAGTCGCAGAGCAGCAATGCCGAGGCACCAACACGAGCTTGCGCACGCCGAGCACGGCGAATCTTCGCACGCGCAGCCCAGCACCAAAGACGCTTCCGAACGGCCAGCTGCTTCACCGAGCCCTTCTCCTTAACCTGCCAACGCCGCTCAGGATACAGTGCGTTATGCCTCAGCCCTCCCGTCGCCTTCGCTATCAATTGCTTCTCCTCCACAGTGCGAAGCCGTCGACGAAGCTCGCGCTCCCGTTTCCCGTCTTTCATCCCACTCTCTGCACCAACAGCAGCAACCACGGCCGGACGCGCTCCAGAGTAACAGATGAAGTCCGCCAGCCCCCCCACGTGGGGACCACCAGGCTGCGAGGCCTTGAAGTCAGCATACTGTACCAGGCCTTCGGTAATGCAAATTGAGAATGAGTGATATAGATAATTCATGTTTGAAACTGAATCCGTTTTGAATGCGTTCTCTTAACGGCACAACTGTTTTACCTTCTACCCCCTCAAAAAAAACCCACCCCATGGGGACCCAGACCAGCTCATGCACCACGCCCGGACAACATTCCCCCAGTCGCCGGGCCTCCGAAATACAATATAAGATACAATACTCGCAGCACTCCAGGAGTACACAAGGTTCCTGACACTTTTTCAAATCGGAATCGATGAAAATAAAACGAAACACGTTCTTTTCTACACTTAGCGGCTTAAGATGCTCTCCGGACCACCCCAGGGCAGCCCAAGAGCGCCCACATAGCCCCAAGACAGACCACGAAGGCCCCGAGATGGCCTAAGAATCCGCCGGGACGGCTCAAAACGTTCCAAGAAAACCAGGAAGAGTATCCATACACCGCAGGATAACTCAAGACACCTGTCTGCCCCCCCAGAATCCCCGAGAAGCATCCAAGGCGCCAGGGGGGTAGCGACAAAACCTGGAGGCCCCCACTCATCCCCCAAGCATCCGCAAGAAAATCACAAGGAGGGGGGGCGTGGGCAGAGGCGGAGCCTTCATATAATTGTTCTTTGGAAGTGAATATTCTTCTGCAGCAACAACAGCAACAACGCAAAGGCCATAATCCTCACCACGGATTCTCACTTCAGCCACGCACCCAGGGACAATGAATGACAGTTCGGCCCCCTCATTTTCATATATGTATATACGCAATTATGAATGTAATGCAGACGTGTTCGCATATCGAACAAATATGTAAATATACATGATTTGTAGATATAGAAGTATATCGCATATACGGTGTATGCATCTATATATATATATATAGAGAGAGAGAGAGAGAGAGAGAAAACAAAAAAAAAAGAGAAAAAAGAGAGAGAGAGAGAGAGAGAGGGGGGGCAAGCAATGACATATGTCATTTCCTGTTCCCCTGAAGAAGCGTGCACCTTTCGGGCCCCCGCCCGTGCCCCTTTTGGGCCCCAGGGTGCACGAACGGTGCACGTTTCTTCGTCTCCCCCCACTGCGTATCGCCCCCCGACGCCGCGCCAGAATCGCGGGCCGACGTGTGGGCCCCGGGGGCAGGCGGCTGCAGGGCCCAGGCGGCTGCGGGGCCAGAGGTTGAGCCAAGATGGCTACGGCAGGCTCGTGCCGTGGCGGCTCTCGCGCGGGTCTCCGGCGCCGCGTGGATGGCTCAACGCTGAACGATCGCCGCGGCTTTTCGAGAGCCAGCGCCGTTCGATACAGCTTGATCCCTTGGGACGATCCCAGGCCACTGGCGGCGCCACGTCTGGTGGGCTGAGGAGGGAGGGGGAGAAGGGCGGGAGCGACGCAGGGGGACGACCAATGCAAGAACGCACATGTCGGTCGGAGAGGCATGTGTCCGCCGTCGCGTCGCGAGGCACGAAGAAGAACGCCCTCATGCCCCTTCGAGCTTCTGAATGGAATCTTGTAAATGCTCCTTGAGGGCCCCAAGCTCTGGCTCCAAAGGCCTCGGGAGCGTGTTCCACAAGCCGCAGAGCCAACGTGCTCGAAGATGGCCCAAGAGGCAAGAACTGAGGCCCTCTTGGGGGCGTCTTGGATAGCCCGGGGGCTGGCCCAAGAAGCCAACCCAATTGCCACTTTGCGCATATCCACGCTTCGAACGCAATAATGTCCCAGAAGGCGTGCAAGATCGCTCCAAGACGGCTCCCAACAGGAAAAACTCGAAGGGGCCATTGGACATTCCACTCCAAGATGGATCCGGAGACCACCAGCAGGCCCCGCGAGAAGCGTCCAGGATGCCCCAGAGGAGGCCTTGCAATAAACCTCAAAAGGCCTCTGGTCCTCAACGGAGGCACGGTGGCAGGACGGGCCGAAAGCTAATGGATCCGCCGCCCTCTGTTGGGTTGCAACAGGGGTACCCGGCGTGCTGAATCCTACCGCTCTTGATTATGGTTATTTTTTTCAAAATAACTCTCCCCCGTTGCTCCAGCCCATTCCGGCGGCCACCCGAAAGGCGCTCAGCTCAAGATGGCTTTCAAGACCGCCAAGATGATCCAAGATGGCCTCCAAGATGCCTCAGATGGCCTCCAAGACGGCTAAGATAACCCCAAGATGCCTCCAAGCCGGCCCAAGATGCCTCCAAGATGGTCCAAGATGGCCTCCAAATGGCCCAAGACGGCCCAAGAGGCCCCCAGGAGGCCTCCAAGACGGCCCGAGAGGTCTCCAAGAAGGCACGAATAGTCCAACATCATTGATTTCCCTATGTTTTTTTTAGGATTTTGGCATCTGTTTCTCTTCGGTCCTCCGGTGGCCCGAGAAGGCCCAAGAGCCCCCACAGATCGTCTCAAGATCGCCCAAGAGGCCTCCAAGGTGGCCCCGAAACGGCCAAGAGGCCCCCAACACTGCCTCAAGAGGGCCCCAAGACGGCCCAAGAGGCCTCGAAGGCGCCAAAGATGGCCTCCAAGACTGCCCTGGAGCACCCCAAGAGGGCCCCAAGTCGGCCCAGAGAGGCCCCCAAGACGGCTTCCGACGGTGTCAGACGGGCCAGCAATGCGCTAAGACGGCCAAAGAAGCCCCCGAGAAGCCCCCAAAGGCCCCAAAGAGGCCAAAGGAGGCCCCGAAGATACCTCCAAAAGGCTTCCATGAACCTCCAAAGATGCCCCATGAGTGCCCTCAGAGGCTCCCAAGATGCCCCTCCTCCTCCTCCTCCTTCCTCCTCCTCCTCCTCCTCGTGATCTTCCCCGCCATCCTTCCCCAAGTGTTCCCCGAAGGGTTTCTACAAGGGCTGGGGGAACAAATGGCCCGATAGCTTGGCAGAGCACTTGCCACAACGCTCGGCCACACTGGCGATTCCAAAAGTCAGGGGGCGGCGGTAATTCGCCCTTGGCGTCTTCGATAACCTGTATACTTAACAGTTCGCGAAGCGTAGCAGTATATGTAGATTCCACAGAGAAATGAACTTCAAAATGAGCTACTTCGATTCTTGAAGCAAGAAGGCGCTCAACATAGATCGTTACATAGCTGGCTGCGGAAACCCAGCGCACCCCAAATGCCGAACCGTGGGGGCATGCTTTACTTCGGCTGGCATCCGCCAGCGGACCCGGCTCCGCTTTGCTTCCGCCGGCTTCCGCAGAGGAAGTGGTGCCAGGCCCTCGACCCCTCGAAGGCGAGGGCCCCCTTCTGGAACGCCCCCTTCTGCTACGGTGAAGGCTTTGGACAAAGGACCACTGGCTATCAAGGATGTGCTGACCCGGGTCGCTCCAGACCCCGGTTCAGTCGGGCCTTGCGCAAGATCCTGCAGGATCACTGCACCCAAGCTCGATCCGGCGCTCTGACTGAACCCCCGTTTGCATTGGCACCCGTCTCTCGAGCCCCGAGGACAAGGAATCCAGGGCCTGGGCGCAGGTGGAACGCCAACCGAGGCCTGGTCATGGATGCCACCGCCGCCCTCACCAGGTAGGGAATACTCCAAGGTCCGAGGCCTCCTGGGCACATCCCTCAACGGACGAACCCACCGTGGGTGGTCCCAAAGAGAGTGCTTCCAGCGAGCGATGTGCACGCCCCACGCACACGCACGCACGCACGCTTGCACACACGCACATACGCACACACGCACAAAGGCACACGCGCATACACGCACACACGCACACACGCGCACACACGCGCACACACGCGCACACACGCGCACACACGCGCACACACGCGCACACACGCGCACACGCACACGCACACGCACACGCACACGCCCACGCCCACGCCCACGCCCACGCCCACGCCCACGCCCACGCCCACGCACGCGCACGACGCCCACGCCCACGCCCACGCCCACGCCCACGCCCACGCCCACGCACACG